AACAATAAAAATAAAGTGCTGTTTCAGAACTAATATTAAGCTGTGTTTTGTTATAAAGCTTGAACTAAAATCTGCAGTAAACACACAGTCCACTAAATTTTCAATATTAAGCTGTGTTTTGTTATAAAGCTTGAACTAAAATCTGCAGTAAACACACAGTCCACTAAATGTTCAATATTAAGCTGTGTTTTGTTATAAAGCTTGAACTAAAATCTGCAGTAAACACACAGTCCACTAAATGTTCAATATTAAGCTGTGTTATTAAGCAATATTAAGAGTGATTTAACAAAAACTTTTCTGTAACTGACTTATGCAGCTTTCTTACCATAGTAACTAAACTACATCCAACTAGATACTTTTCTTGTACTCACCATATACAACTTCTAATCCTGAGTCAATTTTTTGAAACTCTTCTTTAAGTTCCACCTTTTCTTTCTTCACAGACACATCATCATGATATAATAATTCATGGAGTGGCTCAATTTTTGCTATAGTAACCGTGTTCTAAAAGAATCAAACAAATGTGAGTAATCAAAACCGACAACTGCATTAATTTCTATCATTGAAAACTCAGCACTTATTAATTAAATAGCAGATATATTTACTACCTTTTACCTAACTTGTTTTTATTTTGTAGAAAATTACAGAAGTGATTCATCATTCATTGTCAAACTTTTCTCTTGACAAATAACAACACATACATCTAAATAAAAACAGCCTGTAACAGTACTGTTGAGGAAGTTCTAAACATTATGCAAAACACACTTAGCTACAACAAATACCTATCTTACTTGAATATTAAGAATAGTGTAATTATACCTGTTACAATTAAAAATGAAACACAAAGAAGGTGTCCCTCAGGGGTCAGTAATGAATAATAAGAGAGATAAATCCAGATCTTTGTGATGAAACATTAAGTAATTTAGAGTAAAAAAAATAAGTTTTTTGTGAAATATTTCTTAATAACAGTAATTACTTACACTAAAATTATCAATGCTTATATTTTAATTTATAATCACAGAATCCCATTATTATAGCATAGCTTGTGAAAAATTTTTTAATAAGCACATGCAAGTTATGTTTCAAAACAAATCCTTTTTTCTCTACTATTTGTATCTATGAGATTTAAATTTAATTTATATATGTAAAATAATGTAGTATTTGTAAGAAAATTTCAATCTTTTTTTTCTCAATTTCTTGTCCTTACGGTTTTCTGGAGACTTTTGGACAATCAGAAAATTTGATTCAATTTTCTTGATTAGTTATTTTAAACTGCAGAAAGTTATTTTAATAAAAAAAGTAGAATAAAGCCAAGTCTGTAATGAGTTGTCAAAGATATATTTAAAACTTATGGAGAATTCACAATCATATCAGTGGTGACAGGTTAATTTACAGCATTGTTATACAAGCGGACAGAATTCAACCAAAGCAAGAAAATGTTGTTCGAAAAATTCTATGAAAAAACTTGAAAAAAGAAAAGGATGATAAATTGAGATATTAGCAACGTAATGAATCTATACATGTCCAATAACATAATAAATTATTAAATTTAGTGAATTTCCAAGTTATTTAATCTGAATTTTTTTAGTTTGTATTAAAAATGCATAATTGATATGTATAACGTATAGCATATGCTAATGAGTGATAATTACTTTAAAAAATATTAAACTTAATAAGATTATGTGGTATACATAAATCAACTCCAATTATTACCTTCCTAGTGTATTTTAATTGAGAGTCTGTTAGGCCAAGGGTATATTATAAACAAATCTATAAATGACAGGCATTACCAGAAGGAAATATGAAAGGGAAAACAATATGTATTTTGTGCAAGTAAAAAACATTGATTTTCGTTTTATTATTTTATTTAATATATATTTGCCAAAAGAACATATATGAAAATACAAAAACCAAAAGTAACTTAATTCTCGATTTGATATAATACATTAAAATCATTCACTATTCTAATAAGTGTACAATGCAATATCATTATGTTTAATAAAAAACATTGTACTTACTACACATACCTTAACTTTTCCTGCCAATGTCACCATAAATACAGATTACCTTATGGGCTTAATGTGGAATGACAAATAAACATGTAATAAATATGGAGAATTAAAAATATGGATTCAAATATATTGATGGTTCATGTCACACTAGAGTATTATTGTGTAATAAAAAATGGCTACTTTTATACCTTTGATAATCTAACTATCCTCTACTTTTGACAAGTGAAAGTGCCATGTGCTGTTAAGTTTACTGTCCACAGTGAAGATGCACATAAAATAACTATGTGCTTAATAACTTTAATGTAGTTGTGAACATTCTGTTCACCACTACAAATTGTGTTCATGTAAAATCATAAAAGTGTTCCCAAGAACTAAGTATATGTAACTTATATTAAAGTGTGCATACTATTAAACCAATAATTTGCCACTTCAACTCCCACGATCATACCCTTGTACACTGTACCCAGTATTAAAGAAGTAATGCTGACTATCATTTCAGATTTAAGTATATCTTCACAACTTAATCAGTAGTGTGAATTTGTTGTACACAAAAAGTCAAATGTGTTATTAAAGTTTTTGTGCAACGGATGTTTTGAAATGCCAAAGTCAGTTCAACAAACCATAGTGTAGGTAAGGTGATGTTCATGTGAAGAATAAAAATATTTTTGTCCATTGGACAGTAAACAAATTGCTCTACAGCCTGCTAAATGCACATCTATAGTTTTTTCAGTATCTCTGTATTGTGTCAGGTATTTTCTCTACTTTTAACACAAACTGTTGATAATTCTGACATCTAAGTTTCCTTAAGATATTTGAAGTTCTGAAATTTCACAGGTATTGTTGAGCAGTTTTCAACTAGAAGACAACATGCGAGTCAAAAGGATGTATAAATATTTTTAAACTACTTCTTTTAATGTGAAGACTGACAGTTTCCACTAGCTGCTACACAAGACATTGTGTTTTTTTATTATTACAGACAATACTGCAATCATTTATGATAATGAGTTATTCACAAACATGTCCTACATGTAAGAATTGTCATTGCAACAAGCCATAAAATAAACATTACAAACAATGCTTTTATCATGTAAGATAACCAGTTACAATACTGCCTCATTATAAAATCATTGATAATAACACTTTCTCAGATATAACACTGTGGTGCCTTGGTTCACACAAATTTAGTATCATCTGCTGCTTAGCTCATTGCCGTGTGGCTTCAGAGGCCAAAGTCATTACACTCTGTCATAAAATAAAGGAAAAAAAGTGGGAAGTCCCAGGTGCAAAGCCCACAGATATGAATATCAAGTTCAGACATGAATTTGATGTTGGGAATTAACCCTATGACTACCAGCTACTAATTTCTTAGTAGGTAACATTGCTCTCACTATATTTCATTCCAAAAATATAACTAGTGGATGAAATTGTTTGAAATTTTACAAGAATTATCCTAAAAGTATGTAGTGTCAGAAAAATAAAACATATAACTTTGATTTTACTACTATTTCTAATAAAAAATTTCGTTATTTAATGTAGTTATTTGCAATCGCACTCTCAATAGTTCACTTGCAAGGTGATGTTTATATGGAGTATAAGAATACTATTTTTTATCTTACAGTTTCACATTTCATTTGTATAATTTCTAGAACCTCATAAATGATTATCCAAAATTTTTAACGTAAGTATTTATATTTTGTTTTCCATTTTCTGTACTACATCACTATCTATTATCATCAATATACAGTGCAATCAAATGTTCAAAATTAACAAATAAAAATATGTACATACTATTCAACTCTTCGTAAAAATCCACTATATGTTAATTTCACGCCTTTATCTTTCACTTATAGTTTATTTTTAATTTTATTTTCAAATTCTTCATCTATTATCATTTATGCCCAGATGTCAAATGATGCACACGGGGCTTTATGAAGGTGTTTCGGCAGACTTCCCATGGAGTCACACTGCCAAAACATGATGGTACTTATACATGCAATCTTGTTTATAACCATTCACAAGCCAGGTGATAAGTTAAGCTTATAAAAAATCCTTAAACCATTCAAATATAATTTTTAAAACACACATAATAAACAAAAATATAAAAGTAAGACCTAAATACTATCTAACTGTATCTCTAACTATAGCATACTTAGGTAAGAAACCACCATAAGTGCTATAGTTGATCAAGCATCCAAAAATACTACAGTCAGTTACATGTATTCCATGAAGAAAACTGCCCACTAATTTCAAATTAACTGTTTGTACAATACAGTGTAAACTGAGCTCTTTCTAACAAGTATATACACTTGTGTCAACTAACTACATGTACATTGTACATCTCAAGGCAAACTATAGAAGGTGGGTGTGACAACCATCAAGGGTTGGAAAATTTATTTCTCTTTCCCAGTGAATACAGTTGAAGAACTTTGGACATGTCAAACAGGTCATATTCATGTACATTGCCAACTTATGTGGATAACAGTGAACACTGCTAAAGTTGAGATTTTTCAAAGCATGTGGATCACGTGACACAAAGACTGCAGTTTAAATATTTTTTTAAAGGTATCCTTTAAAACAAAGTAATTAAAACTTAGATAACATAACACTCAAATTATAACATACATTATAATGTTAATTTCATTGACATATATTGATAGTAAAGTTGTTTAATTAAATTTTGAATGTAACACAGTACCATATGCATACTGGAATTTAAAAATGGTGCTGGGTGGGGATATAGGGTTAAGGCAAGAAAAGAATTTGGAAGCGTGACTTGACCGTCAAAATAGCAACAAAGTGTCATCGATACAGCATTTGTAAAGGACAGGTTTAAAGTCACATGAGCAGTTTTCTAGCCACTTGAATCCATGGTACCATAGAAACTATGGGCTATCATTGGACCCAGTGGGGATTCTATCTATCTGATCATAAGTGATGTCATTAAAGAGAAAATGTTTAACTTTGTAGAGAGGGCAAGAAGTTAAAAGAATTGTTTACAGATGAAACCAAAATACTGCTTCGTGTCAGACAGAAGTAAATATGTCACGTGGTTAATTGCAGCAGGCTTAGAGTAGTGTTAAGCCTGCTCACTTTGACACAATTTTAATTATCCAATGAAAATTATCATTCTCTGTTGCACATGGCTCACAATGGTAACATCATAATGAGGCAGTACTGTTTTTCTCAAACATGTCTACTATTTTTAATAATTAAAGACATTTAGATGATTTTGTGATGAATTTTCCAAGTACAAGTGGTTACAGAACAATCAAGTTATGAATAAAAACAAATTTAACAATGCCTGCAATCTAAGATTATTGAAAATAACAATAATTTAAAATCTATACATTACCTCAATTTCCTCTATTACTTCAAATCTTTCTTCTATTTCCTCTTTTTTTACTTCAAAGTGAAGTATACAATCTGAAGACCCTGCTTTTAATACAGCAGCTTCTCCTACTGGTTCAAAGTGAAGTATACAATCTGAAGACCCTGCTTTTAATACAGCAGCTTCTCCTACTGGTTCAAAGTGAAGTATACAATCTGAAGACTCTGCTTTTAATACAGCAGCTTCTCCTACTGGTTCAGGTTTATCAAAACAAAAAATATTTTCTTTTGTAATACAAGTTCAGGTAAGTTTTAAACAACTATACCATCAGTGGCTGTGAGGTTAATATAGGCTTATGAATGTTTTATGTTTCATTACCTAATGTATATACAATCAGTGATTGTGAGGTTAATATAGGTTTATGTATGTTTTATGTTTCTTTAAATTAACTCAGAAACTTTGAATTACCATACTAATATGATGGCTTTATTTTATACATAAAGATCATTAGTTTGAAGTACTGAAACAAAAGAGACATAGAAAGTTAAACACATAAAACTGAAATTAAAATCATAATTCTAGAAATATGTTTAACTCTATATGTACAATCGGAGGTCAAATAGCTTTTTATAACCTTTATACAGAGTTGCATTCTACATTAAACAATTTCATCTTCAATGTATCTCAATAAACTTGGAATCAAAACATAGTTTTTAATTCATATTTTAACATTACTACAAGTTTAATTTCTTAATTTCAAAAGCACATATTTAAATAAATTCTCACTTTTCACTTCTCTGTATCTTATGGCACTTCTTTACTTCAAATTGCCCATTTCAGATTTTCTTTCTACCCCTATATGATCTTCTGAATTCAGCACAAATTACACACTTATACTGTAGATATTGCTATTGTAAATTTAGATACATATATCTGAGTTCAGCACAAATTACACTTATACTATAGATATTGTAAATTTATATGACATTCTGAGTTCAGCACAAATTACACTTATATTATAGGTATTGATATTGTAAATTTATATGACCTTCTGAGTTCAGCACAAATTACACTTATATTATAGGTATTGCTATTGTAAATTTATATACATATATCTGAGTTCAGCACAAATTACACTTATACTATAGATATTGCTATTTTAAATATGTAGTTTCTTGATTTACTGACATATAAACAGAAAAGACAAACTCACGTGCCACACCCCTCCTATCATATCCCGTCTTTCATAAAATATTAATAATTCTTACCCATATTTTTTTACAAGGCTAGTTTATTCATGTATCTGGTTTTGAAATATTTGGAATCAGTTTCATTGTTTGCCTTTATAGTGTTCATCTCAACCAGCTAACAGAATTTTTTAAACCAATTTAATCATATTTATAGTAACCTTAGGGCATTCTATTTTTGTATGATGATATTTTGTTTTCTAAACTGTATATTTTAAACAAAAAGCCACAAGTTCTTTCACCACACTACTACTGGGAATAATATGACTGCTATACTTTTATAGACAATTATGTTGGTTTGGCACTATCTGATTGACTAGACAACAACCAATCACAGTGTAAGCTATCATCACATGACAGTACTCTACTGCAGGTCATTTTCATACAATAGAAATGTAACAATTCCATGATACTTGCATTTTATGCCTACTTGATTAGCTGTCTCCATAATTATTTATTGTAGCTATAAACAATTTTTATCTCCAACACTAAGAAATCAAACCATATTTCAAGTGAACTATTCACTTACTAACAAAAGTGCTACAATTTTAATAAGTGAATAGATAGTACCTGAAATTTTGTTACAATTCAAACAGCTAATATTTTGTTTGAATTTACATATAAAATGTAAATTACAGTCTGTTCAAGTTGAGAATGTTAAAGCTAAGAGTAATGAGATTGAATAAATCTATTTAGGTTTCTATTAGTTGTTATAATGAGAAGGCTTTTAGTTGAAATTTGTTACAGTTACAAGTTGATTACTTCAAGTCTTTTGATTTACATCAATGATAAAGAAACAGACAGTGAATTATTTAAATATGCTGATGACATTAAAGTTTTGGGTGTTGCTAGCTGTGAGGAGGAGGAGAATGCTACTGCCAACAGGAGTTGAGATATTTGATGAGTTGAGCATAAAAATGACACATGGGTTTTTATTATAATAAATGCAATGTAAAGCATGTGGGATATCATAATTTGAATGATGAGTTTAGTTTTGATGGGAATACTCTTAACAGTGTTATGTAGGAAAAATATCTTGGTGTTCTGGTTGATCTATCTCCGAATTCATCCAAGCAATATACTGTTGCTAGTGGCAGGGCAAATAGGATTTTAGGTCGTACCTACAGAAATACTGAACAAGTCAAGAAAGGTTAGACCACATTTAGAGTATTGCATTCAGTCTGTCTCCTTAACTCAGAAAAGACAATGAACTGTTGGAAAGGGTTCAGAGGAAGGCTACTAGGATGATACAGTTAGGATGGGTTAAGATTTCTGAACTTGTTTTCTCTTGAACAAAAGAAGAGTTAGATGGGATCTGATTGAGGTGTTTAACATTGATAAACGAATTTATAGTGTTGATGCATCATCTTTCTTTATATTTAATGGAGAGAATGGTAAAGCTAGGGGACACAAAAATAAATTTTGACAGAGAAGTTATCATCATCTAATACAGCTTATTTTTTCTAACAGGATGGTGGGTCTCAGGAATGGGTTGTCTTTGGATGTGGTAAATACAGTTAACTTAAGGAAGTTTCAAGGAAAGCTTAACAAATATTTCAATGATAGGGCTGGCTTTGATTTTTTTTAAGGGTTTAGTTTACTTTAGTGGATAGGATGACCTAGATAGGTCAAAAGGTCCTTCGTTTTCCATTAATGTTATATAAATACTTGATACTATAAAAATCCTTGCCTGTCATATAAACAGTGCAGTACAGTAGTTCACTTTGACAAACAACAATAAATGCTGAAGAACAGTAGTTCACTTTGACAAACAACAATAATACACTGAAGAACAGTAGTTCACTTTGACAAACAACAATAAATGCTGAAGAACAGTAGTTCACTTTGACAAACAACAATAATACACTGAAGAACAGTAGTTCACTTTGACAACCAACAATAATACACTGAAGTACAGTAGTTCATTTTGACAAACAACAATAAATGCTGAAGAACAGTAGTTCACTTTGATAAACAACAATAATACACTGAAGAACAGTAGTTCACTTTGACAAACAACAATAAATGCTGAAGAACAGTAGTTCACTTTGACAAACAACAATAATACACTGAAGACCAGTAGTTCACTTTGACAAACAACAATAAATGCTGAAGAACAGTAGTTCACTTTGATAAACAACAATAATACACTGAAGAACAGTAGTTCACTTTGACAAACAATAACACAGTAAGAAAGAACAATGTGATAACTTTAGATTTAACAAACTTATACTTACTAAGTGCACTTTTAATATTTTTTTCTTCTAGCTTGACTCCCAACACACTATTCTGTTCCTCATCAGAAAGTGGTTCAACTTTTATCTTCACCACCTCCATGTCTTACTGTCAAGAAATGGTTAAATATCAGATATTCAACAAATTATTTTGTTATGGATGGATAAGTAAATGTCACATTAAGGAACTAAAACTCAGCCCTGCACTAGAGAAATATTAAACATTCAATTGTAACAAGTTTTTCTTTCTAAATTACTGATGAGCTTTACTGTTATTACTTTCAGGGATTAAAACAGCAAATTTACCTTTAAATAGTTAAGATTCTAGCTAATTAAGTTTTAAGACTGAAAGAAGTATTATGATGAAATTAAAACTACTATTAAACAAATGTCTACTCAAAATCAGACACTTGAACTAGGCTTGTTAGTTAAGTCCATTTAAAAGTGAAAAAATGGAGGAAGGAAAATCTTTTACTTGCATGGGAGAAACAAAATTTAAGACTTTTTTTTTAGGCTTACACAAACTCATTTTATGCACTTAGTCCAGCTCTCACAATGCAAATAATTTTATTCATTCTATTCTATAATAAAAACTGAATAGCTCAAAGTTACACATCACGTTACAAGATGTAATGTGTTTAATACTGAATTCATTGCATACTAGTTTCCATTCAATATTACAGGGGCAGACTATCAACTACCTTTACTAACACTACACATACCCAAACATACACATTAGTAGAATAAAGCACACTATCAACTACCTTTACTAACACTACACATACCCAAACATACACATTAGTAGAATAAAGCACACTATCAACTACCTTTACTAACACTACACATACCCAAACATACACATTAGTAGCATAAAGCACACTATCAACTACCTTTACTAACACTACACATACCCAAACATACACATTAGTAGAATAAAGCACACTATCAACTACCTTTACTAACACTACACATACCCAAACATACACATTAGTAGAATAAAGCACACTATCAACTACTTTTACTAACACTACACATACCCAAACATAAACATTAGTAGCATAAAGCACACTATCACCATCCAGTTATCACCACTCATACCCAAACATACACATTAGTAGCACAGAGAAAACCCACTACCACCATCCAGTTACCACTTCACATTAGTAGCACAGAGAAAACCCACTATCACCATCCAGTTACCACTACACATTGGTAGCGCAGAGAAAACCCACTACAACCATCCAGTTACCACTACACATTTCCAAACATACACATTAGTAGCATAGATAAAACACACTATCACCATCCAGTTACCACTACACATTAGTAGCGCAGAGAAAACCCACTATCAACATCCAGTTACCACTACACATACATACACATTAGTAGCATAAACCCACTACAACCATCCAGTTACCACTACACATTTCCAAACATACACATTAGTAGCATAGATAAAACACACTATCATCATCCAGTTACCACTACACATTAGTAGCGCAGAGAAAACCCACTACCACCATCCATTTACCACTACACATACCCAAACATACACATTAGTAGCATAGATAAAACCCATTACCACCATCCAGCTACCACTACACATTTCCAAACATACACATTCATAGCACACAGTAAACCCATTACCACCATCCAGTTACCACTACACATTTCCAAACATACACATTCATAGCACACAGTAAACCCACTACCACCATCCAGTTACCACTACACATCTAATTTCTGATCAATTCAATTGTAATTCTTGATTGAAGTTCTTGAGATGAAAGTTATGACAGTCTCCTCTGTTCTATTTATTTGGGTATTTAATCTGCATCTCAAGTGACCTCAATCTTTTGTACTCAGATAATATATCTGTCTTCATTACATTGTACAGAGACAAACAAACACCACACCTACTTTTACTTACACAGATACATACACACATGCTATGTCAATAATACATATATTTTTCTATATAAAACGAATATTTGAATCTACAGTACTTCCCCCAGCTGTACATTTAATATTTATTCAATTTTGTTAGTTGCAATAACTTTATAAAATAATTAATATGGTGTAAGTCATCAAATTTCATAAAACTTCTGTAATAACTGTTAATATTATATTCAACAAATCAATAAAAATTAGTAATTAACACATATGAAAGGAGAAAATTATCTACTGCTGTTCAAAAACAAGAAACTGGAAACAAAAGTTTTTTTTAAGTAGTTAACTTAGTTTATTTAATTAAATAATTTAGTTTTATGCATTGTACTTTAATGTCAATGTTAAAATAGGGACAAATGTAATACAACTACTACGTACTAATAATATTATAGAATCTACTGTACTTGGCAGATCTTAAACTATATGCTATTGACCAATGTAAAAACATCAGTTTTGGTTGTTATTAAGTGCAAAGCTACAGAATGGGCTATCCATGCTTTGCCTACACAGAGTATCAAAATCCAACGTTTGTTGTAAGCCTGCAAGTGTTTTATGTTCAAATGCAAATCCTTCATAGTTAACTTAGAAGTTAGATATAAATACAGGCCAATGAACTTCAAAGATAATTTGGAGAAACATTGAAAAAGTTATTCACTACACACTAGGCAGAGAGGAATGGAATGCCACTATTCATAGTCACCCGGTGGGACAGTGGTAAGCCTTAGGATTTACAAACTAAAATCATGGGTTCGATTCCCTCAGTGGACACAACAGATAACAACGCGCTCAAACACACTATTCAGATCAATTAATCATACACATGCAAGTTTCCTAAATTGCGAGGAAAAGTTCAAGCTGAAACGATGTTAAGGTTGAAGGAAAATATTCTGATTATCACTGACATATATAAATTATAATGATATTGATAGTGCGTATTCTTCAAAAGAAGACGAGATTAAACAATCAACAAAGCGCTACTGAACTTTTACTTAGTTTTATTTTTACTTACAATACAGGTGATTGTATTCAATTTAAACTCTCACGCTCTGTTGTGTAGTTTGAAAATCATAAACAATATTCACCCACAGTTAACTATAATGAAACAAAATAACTTTTCGATTCGAAGCCTCAGAATAACAATATAATATATCAATATAGTTAAAAGATATGTAAAATCACAAAAAAAGTTTCATTACAACATGATATGAAACGTATTTCGAGGTACATTAAATCACATAAAATAGAGGATGGGTTAAAAGTATAACGCTTTTGCTACAAGTCCAACAACTGTCAAAAATTATAATAACACGAATAACCCTTTGCTTAAATTCCACCACCCTCCTATTTCTTCAGCGTATAGTATGATTCGTATTTTAAAATTAATTCAACCAAAACGCTAGGTGCCGCTATGAATTATACATAACGTTTTCCGATAAACGAAATGTTTGGAACATTTTCACAATAGGTTAATTTGAGCTTGTAAAGAGCTTAGATAAAAGTTAAATTTGTACACAATTAATGCAGTATATCGGAGTTTAAAATAATAAACATCTTTGTAGAACCTGAATTATTCAACTTATGAAATTGAACGGAGTAGAAAATAACATGGGCTTAGAAACAGTTTTGTTGTGAATATTCCTCTAAAGTAATACATAATTTATCGACCAAGCTGTATCTGGATAGGTATTCGGTCGCTGTACGCTACTTAGGATGGGTCAGTCTCTATTCAGATATCTTCTTTCTTTATCGACCGGGGCCCGGCATAGCCAGGTGGTTAGGGTGCTCGACTTGCAATCTGCGGGTCGCGGGTGCGAATTCCCGTCACACCAAACATGCTCGCCCTTTCAGCCGTGGGGCGTTATAATGTGACAGTCAATCCCACTATTCGTTGGTAAAAGAGTAGCCCAAGAGTTAGCGGTGGGTGGTGATGACTAGCTGCCTTCCCTCTAGTCTTACACTGTTAAATTAGGGACGGCTAGTGCAGATAGCCCTCGTGTAGTATTGCGCGAAATCCATAACAAACAAACAGATTATCGACCGGAACTGAAGGTTTGGTTGTTTTGAATATTGTGCAAAACTACTCGAGGGATATATGTGTTAGCCGTCCATAATTTAGTAGTGATAAATTAGTCAATACCATTCACCGCCAACTCTTGGGCTACTCTTTTACCAAAGAATAATGGGATTGATTGTAACATTATAACGTCCACATAGCTGAAAGGGTGAGTACTTTCGGTGACGAGAATTCGAACCATCGATTCGCAGATTGCGAGTCACGTACTCTAACCAATAGGCCATGCCAGGCCTTTCAGAACTGAAGAAAGAGTTGTATATGTGGGTTTGGGTTATCTATTTGTAGATTTATATTATGTTTTGAAACCATCTTTTATCCCTTTATACAACAGTTAAAGAAAGAATTTCTGTAAAATTCACAGTTTACTCCTGAAGAAGAAAGGTCCTCGTTTCGAAAGGGCTCGGGGTTACAGGGCTTTTATCGTTTTATGCAAACAGTAACGGGTCATTTAATAGCATCGCTAATGAGATTTCAAGTTTGACATTGAACGTTTACTATTCTCTCAAACTGTATGATTCTCAACATAATTTACTTATTGAGGGTTGTTGTTGTTGTTTTTGATTATGCACAAAGCTGCACAAGGGCTATCTGTGCTCTGCCCACCACGGGTATC